AATTATAAAAATGATCATTATAATTATCCTCTTGTTATTATTTTCATTATTATTATTGCCATTATCATCATAATTATCATCATTATTGTTAATGATAAAGGAATTATCATGAAAATCATCATAATTACCTGAAGTAATGTTAAAATCATCATAATTATCATTTAAAAGCGAAAAAAGGTTTTTTCGACCTCTCTCTTAAAAGGATGTAATGCGCTAGATTTTGCCGTTTTTTCGACTTTTGGATTTTATTAATTTTAGCCTTATTTCTTTATAAATGCTCTACGATTATTATTATCATCGTTATCCACATTATTGTCATTATTCTTATGATTGTCATTATAGTCATTATCGTCAAGATTATTATTATTATCATTATCATTATTACAGTTATAATGATTATTATGCTAATTATTACTATTATTTTCATCATTATAAGATTTTTATAATAATAATGATAATGATAATTCTAGAAATAATAATGACAATAATACTCATTATAATAAAAATAATAATATCATTAATTCCATTGTCATTACTTGTATGAAAATTATTAGCATAGAGTTAATTATTGCTATTATTGCAGTAATTATAAAGATTATCATTATAATTATCATTTTATTATTATTATCATTATTATTATTGTCATTATCATCATAATTATCATCATTAATGTTAATAATAAAGGAATTATCATGAGAATCATCATAATTTATGTTAAATTAATGTTTAAAATCATCATATTTATCATTTAAAAGCGAAAAAGTTTTTTCGACCTTTCTCTGAAAAGGCTGCAATACGCTAGATTTTGTCGTTTTTCGACTTTTGGATTTTATTAGTTTTAGCCTTTATTTCATTATAAATGGACTCTATGATTATAATCATCATCATAATCATCATTATTGTCCTTATTTCATGATTATCATCATTATAGTCATTATCATTATCATTATTGTAGTTATAATGCTAATTATTACTGTCATTTTTTCATTATAACTATTTTATAATGATAATAACAATAATGATAATTTTAGAAATAATAATGACAATAATACTCATTATAATAACAATAATATTAATATTCTATTGTCATTATTAGTATGAAATTATAAGAATCGAGTTAATTATGCTATTATTGCAGTAATTGTCAAAATCATCATTAAAATATCATTTTATAATTATCGTTATTATTATTGTCATCATCAACATAATTATCATTATTATTGTTAATATTAAAGGAATTATTATGAAAATCGTCATAATTGTCTGAATTAATGTTAAAATCATCATAAATATCATTTAAAAGCGAAAAAGTTTTTTTTCCGACCTTTCTCTCATAAGGCTGTAATACGCTTGATTTTGCCGTTTTTTCGACTTTGGGATTTTATTAGTTTTAGCCTTTATTTCATTATAAAGGACTATATGATTATTATTATCATTATCATCATTATTGTCATTATTCTTATGATTATCATCATTATAGTCATTATCGTCATGATTATCATTATTATCATTATCATTATTGCAGTTATAATGCTAATATTACTGTAATTTTCATCATTATAATTATTTTTACAATGATAATAACAATATGATAATTTTAGAAATAATAATGAAAATAATACTCATTATAATAACAATAATAAAGATATTATTATTTCTATGTCATTATTAGTATGAAAATTATTAGAATAGAGTTAATTATTGCTATTATTGCAGTAATTATCAAAATTATCATTATATCATTTTATTTTTATTATCATTATTATTATTGTCTTTATCATCATAATTATCATCATTATTGTTAATATAAAGGAATGATCATGAAATAATCATTATTATAATGTTAAATCATCATAATTATCATTTAAAAGCGAAAAAGTTTTTTTTTCGACCTTTCTCTGAAAAGGCTGTATACCCTAGATTTTGCCGTTTTTTCGACTTGGATTTTATTAGTTTTAGCTTTATTTCATTATTAAATGACTCTATGATTATTATATCATCATTATTATCGTTATTTCATTATTCTTATGATTATCATCATTATAGTCATTATCGTCATGATTATCATTATTATCATTATCATCATAGTGCTAATTATTACTGTCATTTTCATCATTATAACTAATTTTTATAATATAATAACAATAATGATAATTTTAGAAATAATAATGACAATAACACTCATTATAATAACAATAATAATTTATATTATTATTTCTATGAAAATTATTCGAATAGAGTTAATTTTTGCTATTATTTAAGTAATTATCAAAATTATCATTATAATTACCATTTTTTTATTATTGTCATTATTATTATTGTCATTATCATCATAGTTATCATCATTATTGTTAATAATAAAGGAATTATGAAAATCATCATAATTACCCGAATTAATGTTAAATTCATCATAATTATCATTTAAAAGCGATTTTTTTTCGACCTTTCTCTCAAAAAGCTATAATACGCTATAGTTAAAACAGAACCCCGATAATGATGTCGTGTGTGTGGTTAATTTATATATATATATATATATATATATATATATATATATATATATATATATTATATATATATATATAAACTTTTCTTGTGTGTATCAGTCCTCGTTTTGAGTTTCGTTTGTATGATTCTTTAAGATATTACCGAGACAAGACAGTATGTTTTTTTTATGTTTATGAACGCTTGTGTGTGTTTGTGCTTTATAGGAAAAAAAACTTTCTCTGAAAAGGCTGTAATACGCTAGATTTTTTTACGACTTTTCCCTCATAAGTCTGTAATATGCAAGATTTTGTGTTTTTTCGACCTTTGGGATTTTATTAGGTTTAGCCTTTATTTCATTATAAATGGACTCTATGATTATTATTATCATCATTATTGTCATTATTCTTATGATTATCATCATTTACAGCCATTATCGTCATTATCATTCTTATCATTACCATTATTGCAGTTATAATGATTATTATGCTAAATATTACTATCATTTCCATCAATATAACTATTTTTATAATGATAATAACAATAATGATAATTTTAGAAATAATAATGACAATAATACTAATTATAGTAACATTAATAATGATATTATTATTATTCTATTCTCATTATTAGCATGAAAATTATCAGAATAGAGTTCATTATTGCTATTATTGCAGTAATTATCAAAATTATCATCATATATATTTTTATTATTATTATCATTATTATTGTCATTATCATCATAATTATCATCATTATTGTTAATAATAAAAGAACTATAATGAAAATCGTCATAATTACCTGAATTACTGTTGAGATCATCATAATTATCATTTAAAAGCGAAAAAAAAATTTTCGACCTTTCTCTCAAAAGGATATAATACGCTAGATTTTGTCGTTTTTTCGACTTTTGGGATTTTCTTAGTTTTAGCCTTTATTTAATTATAAATGGACTCTATGATTTTTATTATCATCATTATTGTCATTATTTCTTGTGATTATCATCATTATAGTCATTATCGTCATGATTATCATTATTATCATTATCATCATTGATTTTATAATGCTAATTACTAGTCTTTTTCATCATTATAAATATTTTTATAATGATAATAACAATAATGATAATTTTAGAAAGAAAAAGGACAATAGTACTTATTATAATGATCATAATAATAATATTATTATTACTTCTATTGTCATTATTAGTATGAAATTATTAGAATAGAGTTATTTATTGCTATTATTGCAGTAATAATTATCAAAATTTCATCATAATTATCATTTTATTATTATTATCATTATTATTGTCATTATCATCATAATTATCATCATTGTTAATAATAAAGGAATTATCATGAAAATCATCATAATTACCTGAATTAATGTTAAAATCATCATAATTATCATTTAAAAGCGAAAAATTTTTTTCGACCTTTCTCTCAAAAGGCTTCAATACGCTAGATTTTGCCGTTTTTTTTCGACTAATGGGATTTTATTAGTTTTAGCCTTTATTTCATTATAAATGGACTCTATGATTATTATCATCATCATTATTGTCATTATTCTATGATTATCATCATTATAGTCATTATCGTCATGATTATCATTATTATCATTATCATTATTGCAGTTATAGTGCTAATTATACTGTCATTTTCATCATTATAACTATTTTTATATGATAAATAACAATAATGATAATTTTAGAAATAATAATGACAATAATACTCATTATAATAACAATAATAATGATATTATTATTTCTATTGTCATTATTAGTATGAAAATTATTAGAATAGAGTTAATTATTGCTATTATTTAAGTAATTATCAAAATTATCATTAATTATCATTTTTTTATTATTATCATTATTATTATTGTCATTATCATCATAATTATCATCATTATTGTTAATAATAAAGGAATTATCATGAAAATCATCATAATTACCTGAATTAATGTTAAAATCATCATAATTATCATTTAAAAGCGAAAAAGGTTTTTTTTCGACCTTTCTCTCAAAAGGCTGTAATACGCTAGAGTTAAAACAGAACCCCGATAATGATTTCGTGTGTGTGGTTAAGTTTGTATATATATATATATATATATATATATATATATATATATATATATATATATATATATATATATATATATATATATATATATTACTTTTCTTGTGTGTATGGGTCCCCGTTTTGAGTTTCGTTTTATGATTCTTTAAGATATTACCGAGACAAGACAGTATGTGGCCTTTGAAATATAATGTGTTTATGAACGTGTGTGTGTGTGTGTGCTTTTACAAAAAAAAAACATACATTCAAGTGCTTTCCTTTATTAGCAGCGTTTGCTTCATGTATTTTTTTCGGCTTTATATGTAAAGGATTAGATAGTTTCCGTATTTCAACACAATAACCATTTTCATTGTCATTACCTTTTCTATTAGTTTTTTTTTTCTGTGGCCTACAATTTTGGAATACTATAGGCATTTTTTTTTTTTTTTTTTGTGATTTGCCTTTTCTCTCTTACTAATATTTTGATATAATTAGTATTTCCATTACCATTATTGTTTTGATATCATTAGCATTTTGTATTTCTCGCCCTTGCGCCTTTCTGTTACTGTGTTTAATACCTATTTCCTTGATTCTTTTACTCAGTCTTTGTAATATGAAATCCCAGACTAAACAAGTACCATGTCCCATCCCGCACAGGCCGGCCTTCTGCTGCTGTCCGTCCTCGTCTCGGAGGCGGCCGAGAGTCCTTACTCCGCGCCCATCCCCATCCTGAAGGACGACCGAACGCAGGACGCCTACGGTGGCTACTCCTTCGACTTCGAGTCCGGCAACGGCATCGTCCGGCAGGAGTCCGGGAAGGAGAGCGACGGACAGGCGAAGCAGGGAGGCTGGAGGTGAGCATCGGGCCTCGACACTCTGTATATGGATATAATTGTCTATTCATCTCTCTATTATCTTTCTACCTTTGTGTCTATCTACGTTTCTCGTAAGTACACCAGCAATTTACCACAAAACTCTGCGAAAGCAAACAGTTGACGAAATCAGCAGGTTACGAAGGATTCAGCATCCTCAATGAAACCCCTTCCCCGCAGATACGAATCCCCCGAGGGCGTCCCCGTCGAGATCTCCTTCGTGGCCGACCAGGGGGGGTACCAACCCCAGGGGGCGATCATCCCCGTGGCTCCACCCCTTCCCTACCAGAGATCCGGGAACTAAGATCATTTTCTTTAAGTGAAAGTGAAGAAACTTTATCCGGAAATTGAGACTTTTCTTTTAAAGCGAAAGTGAGAAAAGAAATTCTTATTCTGATTCTTCTATCACTGCTACTTTTGTTTTTGTTCTTATTTTCTCCTTCTTATCAATGTTTTTCTTCATTCTTTCTCCATCTTCTTCATCTTATTCTCTTCCATCTCCTGCCCCAAAATATCTAGCCAAAGAAATTATTTATTTTTTCTTTTTGTGAAAGAAGGGTCATTTTTAATAATCTTGCTTCACAACAATACAAAATAAGCCATCTCTCTCTCTCTCTCTCTCTCTCTCTCTCTCTCTCTGTCTCTCTCTCTCTCTGTCTCTCTCTCTCTCTCTCTCTCTCTCTCTCTCTCTCTCTCTCTCTCGCTCGCTCGCTCTCTCTCCTCTCGTTTCTCTCTATCATTCATCTATCCGTCTCTCTCTCTCTCTCTCTCTCTCTCTCTCTGTCTCTCTCTCTCCGTTTCTGTCTCTGTCTATCTATTCATCTATCCATCTCTTTCTCTCTCTCTTTCTCTCTCTCTCTCTCTCTCTCTCTCTCTCTCTCTCCCTCCCTCCTCTCTCTCTCTTTCTTTCTCTTTTCTCTTTACGATTAGGTTATTTTAATTTGGTTATCCTCGTTGTTAATCTATATTTGTCAAAATTAGCATTGATTTCCAGTTGGCTGATTGCACAATTTTGATGGGTTGTTATATGAAAGTGAATGATAAACTAAAAAAGATATCGTAAAAAGATACTCTTTTTTGATATTATGGATTTTCCTCTTTCGTAAAAACTAATTTCAAAATACTTCTACTTTCTTAACTGTTTAACCATCCAATCATCTATCTATCTATTTCTATCTCTTTCTATCCCTCATCTATCTATCTATTTCTATCCCTTTCAATCCCGCATCTATCTATTGGCATATATGTAAATGTCATTTTATCCTTGATATCATTATTTGTTGTATGTTTATTAATGTACGTTTGTGCTGTGAAAATGAACGGGCTAGCGTGTCTCTCCATAGAAAACGGTTTGCGTGAATGAAGGGGAGCTCCCTAAATTTTGATGTGAATAAATATTATTTGCAAAATATTAGATTCGGACTTTTATTCAGAGCAACTCAGACTAAGATACATATACATACATTTTCATGATTATTATCATTATCATTATATCATTATCATTATTATCATTATTATTGTTACTTTTAGTATCGTCATCATCATCTTTGTTGATATTATATTATCATTATTTATCATCATCGTTGCTCTCACTTTCACCATTTTTATTACTATATCATTATCGTTATTATTGTTGTTGTGCTGTTATCATTATCATTATTATCATTATAATGTTATTGTTGTTTTTATTGTTTATTATTTTTTCATCTTTATCATCATTATCATCTATGTTGTTATCATTATATCTATTATTATCTTTAGTATCAATGCCATTATATCTATTATCATCATCATTACCATCATTATCATTATCATCCTTATTCATATAATTATTATATTATTATCATTATTATCATTGTTATTATTATCATTATTATTATTATTATTATTATTATTATTATTATTATTATCATATTATTATCATTATCATTATTATTATTATTATTATTATTGTTGTTGTTGTTATTGTTGCTGTTGTTGTTGTTATTTTTTTATTATCGTTATTATTATCATTATCCTTATCATTATTATTATCATCATTATTATTTCTATTAGTAGTAGCATTTTAATCATCATCATTATCATCATAATCTTTATGATCATCATTACTGTTATATTCCATATCTTAAGAACATAATAAGAATCACACTCAAAAAAGGCTGTGTCTGGCCCGATGCATGACCTAGCAAAGCGATAAACGAGTACGTTATAAGAGAGATAAGAGAGTGATAAGATTATAGGCATAATGATGACAAGGTGTGCTAGGAACCTGTACCTTGGCAATGACAACTATGCTATTTTATTCGTTTGCCTTTACTAATATTAACAATGGTGGTGTTGAGGATGACGGCACTACAGTACTGGACAAGATGTTGACAAAAAAAAATAAAATAATAAATAATAAAAAATAAAATGAAATAATATATATATACATAATATATATATATATATATATATATATATATATATATATATATATATATATATATATATATATATATATATATATACACATATATGTTTGAAATGAGATAACAGCAATGATGATAATAATGGTAAGGGATACTATGATGATGATAAAGAAAATAATGATAAGGGATATAATGGCGATGATAAAGAAAATGATGATAAAGATACTGCTGGTCATGAAAAAAAGAAAAATGATAATGATGGTATAAGCAACAGTTATGAAAACTATGATAATGATAAAGACAGTGACAGTTATTATGATAATAAACATGATAAGAATGTTGATGATCATAATCACAAAAATAAAAATATTGCATAGATAATGATGACAGTGATATTGATAAAAACAACAACAATAACAATGATAGTGGGAATATTTATGAAAGCAATGATAATGATAATTGAAATAATAACAACACTAATAATCATATATATGATAGTGATAGTAATAATAAGAAAAATGCAATAAAATACAATGAAATATAATGCAGTCATGATACTGTTAATAACAATGATGATAACAGTTATCATTATTTCTGTTATTATTATTATTATTATTATTATTATTATTATTATTATTATTATTATTATTATTATTATTATTATTATTATTATTATTATTATTATTATTATTATTATCATTATTATTATCATTATTATTATTATTATTATTATTGTTGTTATTGTTATTATAGAAATAATAATGATGATGATAATAATAACAATAAACGTGATAACAATATCAGTAATAATGATAACGATAATAACGATGGTGGTAATGATGATGATCATAATAATAATGATAACAATAATATTGATTATCTTAACAATGATACTATTGCTATTATCAATAACATTAATAATGATGAGAATAGTAATAGCAATAGTAATAATAACAACAACAACATCAATGATAATGATAATAATCATATTAACAATTACAGTAATATTAATAATAAAGGGAATACAAACAATAAAAGTTTTAGTGATGAAAAAGATTTAAATGAAATAGTGATAAAATTAATAATAGTAGTAAAGCTGCTGCTCATGATAACGATGATAAAAGTGATAATAATGATGATGATAATGATAACAATCGTTATAGCAATAGTAATAGTAGTAGTAGTAATAGAAGTAGTAATTGTTGTAATGATAATAATGGTAATATTGATATAAATAAAAAAAAAATAAAAGATGTTATTAAAAATAATATCTTGATTTTGATAATGATATGGATTATGATTGTAATAACAATAATGATAACATTAATAATGATAATAATAATAACAATAATGATAATAATAATAATAATAATAATAATAATAATAATAATAATAATAATAATAATAATATAATAAATATAAATGAAATAATATAATAAAATATAATAATAATAATAATGAAATATAATGATAATAATAATAATAATAATAAAAATGATGATAATAATAATAATTATCATTATAATTATCATTTTATTATGATTATCATTATTATTGTCATTATCATCATAATTATCATCATTTTGTTAATAATAAAGGAATTATCATGAAAATCATCATAATTACCTGAATTAATGTTAAAATCATCATAATTATCATTTAAAAGCGAAAAGGTTTTTTTTCGACCTATCTCTGAAAGGCTGTAATACGCTAGATTTTGGCGTTTTTTCGACTTTGGGGATTTTATTAATTTTAGCCTTTATTTCATTATAAATGGACTCTGTGATTATCATTATCATTATCATCATTATTGTCATTATTCTTATGATTATCCTCATTATAGTCATCATCGTCATGATTATCATTATTATCACTATCATTATTCCAGTTATAATGCTAATTATTACTGTCATTTTCATCATTACAACTATTATTATAAATTGATATAACAGTAATGATAATTTTAGAAATAATAATGACAATAAAAACTCATTTTAATAACAATAATAATGATAATATTATTTCTATTGTCATTATTAGTATGAAGATTATTAGAATAGAGTTAATTATTGCTATTATTCAGTAGTTATCAAAATCATCATCAAAATTATCATTTTATTATTAATATCATTATCATTATTGTCATTATCATATCATAATTATCATCATTTTTTTAATAATAAAGGAATTATTATGAAAATCATCATAATTACCTGAATTAATGTTAAAATCATCATAATTATCATCTATAAGCGAAAAATTGATTTTTTTTCGGCCTTTCTCTCATTAGGCTCTAATACGCTAGAATTTACGTTTTTTTCGAATTTTGGGATTTTATTAGTTTTAGCCTTTATTTCATTATAAATGGACTTTATGGTTATTATTATCATTATCATTATTGTCATCATTATTCTTATGATTATCATCATTATAGTCATTATCGTCATGATTATCATTATTATCATTATCATTATTGCAGTATAATTATTATTATGCTAATTTATTACTGTTATTTTTAACATTATAATTAAAATCATCATAATTATCATTTAAAAGTGAAAAGGGGGGGTTTTCGGCCTTTCTCTCAAAATGCTGTAATACGCTAGAGTTTACCGTTTTTTTCGACTTATGGGATTTTATTAGTTTTAGCCTTTATTTCATTATAAATGAGACTCTATGATTGTTTATTATCATCATCATTAATGATTGTTGTTCATTATTCTTCTGATTGTTTAAGATTCTCATATCTATCATATCATCGATTACATTTATTTCATTATCATTATCCATTATTTGCAGTTATAATGCTAATTATTACTGTCATTTTCATTATTATACCTATTTTTATAATGATAATCACAATAATGATAATTTTAGAAATAATAATGGCAATAATACTCATTATAATAACAATAATAATGATATTATTATTATTTCTTTTATCATTATATGTATGAAGATTATCAAAATACAGGTAATCATTGCTATTATTGCAGTAATTATCAACTTATA